AAGGTCTGTCCGTATTTTGTAAGGGATGCCATCTCTCACAAATGCTAACGTACCACCACCAGATTTTCCATTCCGGTCGTTTCTGGAAAACGTATAGCCAGGAATAGAGATTTCACCATCAGCTATATCAGAGTTTAGCCAGGTTTCAGAGATCGTAAAAATATCAAAAGGTTTTTCATTAAGTAGAAGCTTTAATGAATCTATTTTATTGTAGATACTTCTGATATTGAGGTGTGCAACTTTAAGACCCCGAGATTGAAGAAAACCACTTGCTTGATGACTATTAATAATCGATGCAGGTCCAGGGTTAGATTCTACATCACCAGATATAGAAATAACTAGAACTGCGAGAATTGCGTATAGCAGTAAACGGCACCCAAAGAAAACCTTTGATGAATTCGGCAATGATTTTCGTTTTTCCCTTTTTCGCCGACAACCGTACTTAACTAGACTCATGATATTGGTTGTTGCGATTTCCTTGCATATGTAGAAAATAGCATGTTGTTGCACCAAGTTAGAACAATTCTTTGGGACATAACAATTCTTTGGGACATAAAGACCACATAAGGTAATATAGATATAGAGAAATAACCAGAGGTAAAGGTTTCTACAGCAAAACTTCATCAAATCTATCAGCATCATGATGGAGAAAGTACGATTTAAACGTTCTGTTGATTAGATTATTTAGCAGACGGCGGTCGATAAGTGCGATGGACACTTGAGGGAATTTGTAATTAATACGGAAGATACTTGAGATTATATCTCGCTGCAATGTCAGGGAAAACCACGCCAATGAAGGAAAATGAATCAATAGTATAGACTAGCCGATAGATAACAAACAGTTTAGCATCAAGCAGAGTTGATTAACTTGTAAGCCACCACAATAAAATAAAGTCCTTGAATTGTTTACTGTTCCAGAACTTGAAATAATAAAAGGTTATAAAGCCACAAAGTCACGCGCAAAATTCAAATTTACTGTTGCTACGAAACGTTAGCCCTGTCAAAACAAATCCCAACGGTCAAGACGCAAAATATTGAAAATAATTGCGAGAACACAGTATGTTTCAAGAATAAATAACTTGGATAGTATGAAGCAATACCAAGGACCAAGGCCAAGCACTGTAACAATTATTATGTTGATATTCAAATAAGCAATCAGAAGAATGCGATGTCTACAAATTATGAGACTCTTCGTATATCAGGCGGTCAAATGTATAACCTGATATTATAACCACTGGAAGATACCAAACGAAACAAAAAATTGTCAGTTGATGATCACAATATTCTTAGCTTTGGAAATTTACGAAATAAATGGAAAAAATATTTAAAGTAGATATAATTTTTGCCAATAAATTGCCAACGGTTGCCACCACGTCAGGTCACGTAAGGACTCAGGGCCTTTTTTAACATACAAGCTGGGGGGGCATTTGCCCCCCCAGTCCCCCCTTGTGCCCCCCCAAGAAATCACATTTTGCCCCCCCCAGGAAAAGTCCCTTTTTCCTAAATGTATACCAAAAAAACAGCGAAGAATAACAAATAAATAAACAGAAAGTAAATTTTAGGCTTTATCTTTTGTCCTTGTTTAACAAAATCGATCTAAATTGTTACGTTTTTCTACCACTAAGTAATGATAAATTATTGTTAATAATTTTTTATTTTTTGGTTGCTCAGAATGCAGGAAAGAGCATTTCCAGGTTTCAAATTTGAAAAATTTTCTGGAGATTATGCCTCCACACATGTGGCCTTCGGCCATTGGTATCCCCCTCTAATAAGTATAATGATAAATTACGGTTAATATTCTTTTTTACTTTTTGTGCATTTTTTCCTTCTTTTATTTCAAATACAAGTATAGTTAGCATAAATTTTAGAGCAAATTTGGATGCTCAGAATGCAGGAAATTGCATTTCCGTGTTTCAAATTTCAAAAATTTTCTGGGGAAGTACACCCCCACACACGTGACCATTGGGATCCTCCTCTAATAAGTAATGATAAATTATGGTTAATATTTTTTTACTTTTTGTGTTTTTTTCCCTTCTTTTATTTCAAATACAAGTATAGTTAGTATACATTTTGGAGCGCATTTGGATGCTCAGAATGCAGGAAATGGCATTTCTGTGCTTCAAATTTCAAAAATTTTCTGGGGGAGTACACCCCCTCATTCATGCGTGCATGGTATGTTCGGCGCACACGTGGCCTTCAGACATTGCTATCTCCCTGTAATATATTATCTCACAGAAAGGTCCCTTTTCAAAAAATGCCCCCCCACGGGAAAATCCTTAAAAAAGGCCCTGCGTAAGGTCGTAAGGTATATACAGTAGACTCGCTTAAAATTTCTCCTTTAATTTTTATGGCGTAGATAACATCAATATTCAAAATTACAACGCCAGTAAGTGTACAAAATCAGTCATTTTAGAAGTCATATACAAACCTTGCAGTTCGGTCTTTATCTAAAACCTTCGGCTTCACTGCTTTATAGTTATACTCTTGAATTTGATAACAATATAAATTGTATCACTGTAAAATACCTAACGGATTAACTGAATTAAAATTTGTGACATACCTCTCTCCAATTATCGTAAACAGCAAGTGATATCATTACAAAACCGTCTTCAGAGTTCAGATCGAGTAAAGTATATAACAGAAGTGTATCTTCAGTTATATCTCTAAATGTGGCGAAATCTAGAGTTTAAAGATTGCGTTTAAACTAAATAATACGATATAAACCTGAGGATATAATCTTCTTATCGCGCCTGCTGCTTGAAGTCCTTGAATTTAAATCCCTGTGACTCGTGTAAGTTTACACTTCTGGCACAGTACTTCCGGTCTTAAGAATTTTGACGTCACTGTACGTTAACGCTATATGATCTAACGCCGACCCTTTCCTTCGCCTCGCGCCGTTCTAAGAAAGACCCTGGGAACGAGGTTGTTTACATTTAATATATTTGCGCTGAAAAGTTCAGGAAGTGAGTTTCTAGAAAGGATGAAAACTCCGTTTCATGTATGGTATGTAAAAGGTAATTGTTGTTTACTGTTTATTTTGTATTCAGGTATGGGGAATTTAAGCGATGAGAGTTGCAAAACTTGCAAATGTAGTCTACTAGTCTCTTTGATGTCATCATGCAACTATTTAATATTGTGCTACATTCATTATTCAATTTATTCACAGCAATTAGCCTTCTATAAACCATACAAATGATTATAGCTTGTAGCCCACCTTGCCTTTAACACTGACCCTATATAATGAATTAATATAACTAACTTGATTAGTAGCACAATTAATATAAAGTCTCCATAGGGCGGTAATATTAAAGACTGTTCTTATTTATGCATGACCTTTGACTATTAATAAGTGCCCGAAAATTGTGCGCACAGTAGTCAACTTAATCCACTATCCAGGTTGCATCACTTTTGATTGCAAAACACCTGGGTTTATTATACATGGATTTGCTAGCAAAATAGCAGCAATTGATGAACTTGGTGTTATACTAAGATTTACTAAATGTGTAAAGAAACAACGAAAAGTATATATGTGTATATTTCTTGTTGGCGATTTAATTATTATGCGTTTGGGTAGTTTTAGGAGGTTTAAATAAGAGAACTTTGGTCAATTTTGACCTGCGATTTAAGGCGAGTTACCACCCCAGAGTAGGCCGTCATATGTCAATACAATATTTGAATAAATCAGAGTCACTATCTTGATCAATTTCCGATGGGATCTCCAAAGAAACGTAGCAGACAACATGAAACTTTAGACTGCAGAAAATTTCACAATCCGTTATCAAACTTATGTCACAGAAGTGGTAAAATAAAGGACATATGTGACAACTGAATGGTACCTTTTGTAAATTTTTTGGCCAGGGGTGGGTATTTATTTTTTAATTGATATTTGAGGTAGCCTCCTCCGCAGGCATCTCACCCGACGAATCGGGTGGTGGGAAAAAGTTTGGTGAGATGCCTGCCATAAATCGACACAAAAATTTTCACTGCGCATACCGGCTCGCGCACGCAAATTTCGACAAACTCAAACTTAGGGGGAGTAGGAAGGGCTTACAGCAAGGAGTGGAGAAATTTTAGTTTTCAACACGATGGCTTATAAAACTAAGACGAATAACTGTAAAGTTAACGAATAATACTGCTTTTTAACATTGTAAATACACAGGGAACTTTGACTAAGGAGCTGAGAACGTTAGCGTGAGCCGAAGCAGCGATTTACTGGGATTGTTTAGAGACAATGACTCAACGAGTGACTGGCCAGAGCAGCGAATTCACGTTGTCGTGGATTCATGTCAAGACAGGGTTTCAATCGAACGTTTATCGTTGATATATACAAATTTCTACTCAAATTGTTGACGACATTTTATATCATAATATTAAAGCTGAAATTGCAGTGATTCATTCGAAATTATAACACGAAAAGGAACGAGCGAAAATTGTCCATATATAAAATGTAAATTCAACTGTTGACATCTGTGACTGTGCCTTCGGTATCAGTTAAATATATACCTCTTGCCTTGTTTTAATACGCTTGTATGGAAGGAAAATCATTAATAAAAGTCTTTAAAACAAAGAGGTTTTTTTATATTATGGAATACACTGTGCAATTTATCCCTTGGACAAACACAAAGTTTTCAAACTTTAGTGTCTTAGATAATAATGGCCCTGTTTTATATATGGATGTAATACCTAGACATATATAAGGGAATAGACATAAAGGAATAGAAAAGACAACTGGAATTTAATAGGAATCTAATAGTTTTGCAAGTGACGGTTTAAGTGACATTCATCTTGCTTGCCAAAGTTTACAGGCAAAATATTTACATGAGTAAAATCCATCAATTTTGCAAGGCAAATTTCCATGTAAGTTGTAACCATACAAACAGTCACTGAGGAAACTTCCCAGTGATAGCTAGTGTTTTGCTATTGTTACATTACACAGCAACCACCCTGTCCCAATTCCAATTATTGAACTATATATTAACTGTAAGTTTACAAAAATGAGTACATTTGGCATTAGCTTTAGCTTTAGCAGGGATGGATCTAGCATGATCTGATAGGGGGGGGGG